CATTATTTGGTTACTAGAGACAAAAGTGAGGTAGCCAAATGCAAAAAGTACAACAAAATCTTACAAACGAAAGGAGGATCCACTAAGGGCTTACGCACGCATTTAAAAACACACAATTCAAACATTGTGCCTAAGCAAGATGAACGTGATGAGTCGCCCGAGCATATTCCTTGCAAGCAGCAAAAGATTGTAAACTTTTTTCCAAGTAAAGCTCAAAATACTCTTGAGGCTATGTTAGCGCGAATGACTGCAGTCGACGGATTTACCTTTTCAGCATTTGTTAAGTCGGCTGACTTGCGACAATTGATCGCAATTATCGATGTTCTGTATAAAATTGAATCAAGACCTACAACACTCAGTAAGTATTTTGTATTGGTATTATTTAATCGTTTTTAAATATTTTTAAATTAATTTCAGACGAAGCTGATTGCAATTATAGTGACGACGATTTCGAAGATTTAGACGAAGATGATGTTCTTATTATTTATAATGGTAGTGAGCCTGTTAAATACGCTGAAAAGTTTGATTTAAATTTAATTATTACAAAAGTTCGTAAAATTGTGCGTACATATAGAAAATCACCCACGAAAAACGACGCGTTGCAGAAATATGTTAAAACTGAGCATAACAAAGAGCTGAAGCTTATTTTAGATTGTAAAACAAGATGGAGTAGTCTTTTAGAAATGTTGCAGCGTTTTGTTTTACTTGAAACAAATATTACGAAAGCAACAATTGATCTCAAAATTACTTATTTACAAAGTTCTGAAATGAAAATTATTAAGGAAGTTGTCAGCATACTTCAGCCCATAAAAATAACTATTGAAGCTTTATGCTCGAGAGAGATGAATTTACATAAATGCGACGTAGCGTTACACTTAATGCTAGAAGAAATAAAACAAAATAAATTTTCTTTAAGTAAGATTTTACTTTCGAAAATTATTGAAAGAATTAAGCAGCGTCGAACGATTATGTCAGACNTTTTAAAATTACAGCCTGAGCCTATTTTTAAAGAAGATTTAAATGAATGTACTCATAGCATCACTAATGTAAACGAAAGTTTTAAAGAAAAATTACGTAATTTATTGAATCAATCTACTCAAACTTCCACAAATCGAAAAAGTTATAATTTATCCGACGTGCTGGTAAAAGAACTTGATATATTTTGTAATGGAGGAGATAGGGGTTATTATCTTCAAATGGCTTATAACTTTCTTTTTACAGTTCAACCGACAAGTGTTGAGTCCGAAAGATGCTTTTCATCATTTTAGGTCCAGATTAGAAGACTCCGNACCGACAAGTGTTGAGTCCGAAAGATGCTTTTCATCAGCAGGTTTTGTATGTAATAAGTTTAGGTCCAGATTAGAAGACTCCACCTTGAATGCTTTGGTGTTCTTGCGTTCTCATTTTAAAAGCAATAATAGTAATTAATCTTTTTTAATATGACTTTAGTTATAAGATTTCTTATGTTTGTTTACGGAGTAGAATGAAAATGTTTAGAGGTTTTGTTTTTGTATTTTTTGTTTGTTTAATGTTTCTTTAAACTGTTACTTTCAAAAGTGGTATTTATATTCTTATTTGTGATGTATGCGTTCCTCAATCACATGGT